ACAGTATCGAATGCTGCACTAAGGTCAAGAAGGACAAGCACAGAGATGCCAGCTCTATGTTATTATTCACCATGACTCGTGTCAGTTCCAGCTGTTCAGTGGGTTTCTGATTTGCCCTCAGACTAAACAACTACACCAGTTTGGGGGAAACAGTTAGTTCCCTGATTATCAGACAGGAGAATAATTATAGGTTTTTAGATAAAGTTTCTTTTTGACATTGATTGCAGTGTGTGATCATAACAGGGTTGATACACTCCTCATCAGAAGGATACAAGCACTAACCCCACGGTGTGAAGGGTTAACTAAGAGGCACAGAGCTGAGTGTAGCTGTGGAACAGAGCACACACAGGAAGGGCTGCTTGTATGATAACAGGGCGTTCCAGTGAACAGGGAATAAACACTTAATACTGTTCCTCCATGGCGGACATCAGCATGGAAATAAAACATCCCTAACTGTGAGGGAGTTTTCTCACACAGGACAAGATGCCTGACTGGAGGTTAATGACCGCTGCCATGAGGAACACATCAGGTGCTGAGCCTAAACCACGACATCTCCCCATCAGTAGGCAATCACAATGATTTCCTGTTTCCATGTGTCTAATACATACTTTGAATTATGAATTGTACTTCACTTCTCCATGTACAGACTGCCGGACACTGTCCACAGCTGTGCAAGCCCAATTTTAACTGCCTGATAATAAAAGAGAGTGAACTGCTGTCTCCTGAACTTCTCTCAGCGAAGAAGAACCCGACAGTATCAAAAACAAAGTCTGGAAATTGGGATGGGGAGGGTTACCCCTGCAAAACAGGTCAAAATTAACTTTCTGGCCAATATGAGTTGGTCAATTAAAAAAATTTTATTTTGACTTATTTAAGTGAGAGGTGCAATAATATCAAATATGTATGCGTCACTCACTGTGTTGGATTTTCTGGCTCCTTCTTCAGTTGGAGGACTATATCGCCTGCTGAGTCGTCCTTCCCAGGAAAATAGTCTTCTGAAAGCTTCTTCCCATCTTTGTCCACCATAACCAGTTTGATTCCTTTGCCTCCCAGAGTATCACTCTGGGTGAGGACGTGGATGTCCAAAGCTGTAGCAGGGCGGTTAACATCAGAAATGTCCTCAATGTAGCACTCCAAGTCTTTCTTGTCCGACTCTGACAGGGACTCACGTGGATGCTGGACGACCTTCTTCATGTTGTACTTATACTCCTGGCTGTTAAAGAAACTTTGGGTGTCAGCCCTGCCAAGTATGTTGCCAACAGCACCACCAACAGCATGGTTTATTTTACTTATGCACATTTTGCTCATGATGGAGGTCATATGCCTGGAACAGGCCTCAACGTAAGAGTTTGAAACACTTTCTGCAATCATGCTGATGAGTTTATCTTTAAAGCGTTTTACATCTGATAAACTGTGCCTTTCATCCTGGTTGTTCCTTTCTTGAGGTAGTTTCTCCATCCTTTGCAGGAGCTTAGGAACAAAGGTGTTGTTGATGACTTTCTCTGTTGGTACTGAATTCCATATTTGTACAAAGGCTGTGACATATTTAGCTGCTTCCAAACCCTTTAGAATATTTTCTATTTGATCGGACCCTTTTTTGCTCTTTATGTGTTGTGTTACAGCACCACAGACCGCTGAAAGTCCATCAAGGGCCTTAAGAGCCATGGTACAATTCATCATCAGGTCAGGAATCACTTTTCTTGTTATCAGATCCACTGACTGAAGCATTTCTTCCTCACACTCTTTGTGAAGTCTGAATTCACTGGACCCATTCTCCAGGATATTCTTTGGTATTCCTGAGCAAATGAAGCGTGTGAGAACTTCATCCAGGTTATGGTTGGCTTTTATGAGTGAAAGCACCTTTTTCTCAAAGACTTTCCTCAGAACGTTTTGGAAAAAAGCATTAATTGCCTTCTCAGCAGTATAATTCAGCGCACTGATGCATCCTTGCTTCCCCAGTTCCTGAGCTGCATACTTCCCTGCCTTCAGGAAACACTGTTTCACTGTGTAGGCACTAGTCTTTGCTCCTGCGATCAGACCTTTTGTGCCACTGCGCACTGCACTTGCAGCTTTCTTTAGTCGGCTGAATCCACCAGAGATCAGAGACAACCCGATGCTGATGGCCTTGGAGATTGCCCATTCAGCCCAGTCAAAGCCTCCTTGTATCATTCCTTTGATCCCTTGAATCATGTCAGATACTCCCTCACAGATCAGTCCAAGTCCAAACTGACTGGCACCACCACATGACAGAGCACAAACAAGAACACCTGCTGCGACTTGAAGGGCGCCGAGAACAAAACAAGCAAGGGCGTCATAGCAGAACTCGGGCTTCTTTTTAACCTCAAAGACTGTGTTGAGGCCATTCTCATAGAGCATCATCAGCTCATTGGTGGTGATTAAATCTTTATCTTTGGAAAGATGGTACACACTGGAATCCTCTACTTCTGCATCGCCTTTGCTGCCATCGAGCTGTGTCAGAGTTGTCAGGGCACTTTCGATGTATCTTTTCCAAGATTTGAAGATAGTCATCCTGGCTTGCATTTGGATCTGGAGGTTGCTGTTTGTGTGGTGTGGAACAAAGCCACTCGTCACTGAAAAATTACAAAACATCATCGTATTTGTTGATTCTGAGAGATAGACATCCACGGCAGACTGTGCTTCCTCCAATAATTCCTTTGCCTCAGCTATGTAGTCTCCTTTTCTGAGGTTGAGTGTGATGTAAGCTTGATTATAAAGCGCCACAGCACTGTAGAAATGATCGCACTTTGCAGCTCTCTGCCAGTAAGTCTTTGCTCCAAAGTCACATTTGGTTTTGTTCATGCAGTGCAGGTCAGTTCTGCTTGCTGCCTGTTTGATGTAATCATAGAAATTATAGCTGGTCCCCTGCAGGAGGAAGTCACCAGTCTTCTTCAAGTCTTCGGTGAGGTCTTCTCTCAGCTGGCTGATATCGTCATGTCTGCTGATGTGCTCTTCATGAAGGATGAGCCACAAAGCCCACGATTCTTTCAAAGCATTCAGTGCCGTCTGATAGTCGAACTTGTTCTGATGGATCTTAAAATATTCAGGAACATCCTTCAGCTTCATCTTGGACAGGTCACTCCTTTCTTCTACCGTGTAATTCTTCTCAAAGTTACAGAGAAACTGACAGAAACTGGAGAACAGAGTTTCCTTCATGTCAATTTCACAGAGTTCATTTTTCTCCATGCTGTCTAAATGTCTGAGCTCGTACTCCTCTCTGAGCTGTCTCATGGTTTCGATGGTTTGGCCTTGGTAGGCTGGTGCGAGATGGCCCTGGTTGAGAACCATCTGGACCATCCCTGGGTTTCCTTTTCGGGCGGTGCGTCCAAAGACCTGTCGCTCCACACGGTGGCTTCTAGGAAAGTATGTGAGGAGCACAAAGAGACCTCCACTCTCGTTTACGTCCTGCTGAACGTGTACGTCTGTCCCTCGGCCACCGAGGTTTGTAGCAATGATAATGTTTCCCCGGCTAAAGTTCTGCTTCTCGATGTTGTGCTTCTCGCTGATTGTGTACATGGTGATCTCATTGGCTTGCCTTTCTGGAACATGCATGTTTGTCTTCAGCTCATCTGCAGTTTTAACATCTTCACAAATGATAAGAACAACTTGGCCTCTGTCTGCAGCTCTGTGTGCAGTTTCACAGATCACCTGGATCCACTGCGTGTTGCCTCCACTCACCTGAACTGCTGGCAACTCAACAAGCTTCTTACAGCGGTGAGCTGGAATGACATAGCTTGCTGTTTGGTAATGCCGTTCTAGAAATGCTTTCTCAGCTTGCCCCCCTAATGTCCCAGAAACACCAAAAATGCCTTTTCCATTGAGGTACCTTTTAAAGAAATGGACATTCGACATGTAATTTGTTACATTGGACAGCTGTGAAATGGCCAGCTGGTGCTTCATCTCCAGAAACTGTTGTAGGCCGTCACCCCATCGCTTGTTTTTCTCCAACACCCCACTGGCCTCAAAGTCCACAGGAATGATGGCATCATACTGATGACTGTCAGCATCACTGAAACCACCTGCGTCAGCTTCAGGTGCTTTCTCGATCATGTACTCTCTTCCCTGAGTCATTCTGATGGCTTTTAAGGCGTTCTCGGCAAAAACTGGTAACTGATTCTCAATGTATGTTTTCAAAAAAGAGGGGATCACAATAAATCCCTTACACTCATCCAATGACTTCACTGAGCACTCATCAGAATATTTAATTGTTGGTTTTAATTTGTCCACAGCTCCTTGGAGGAGGGACTCCTCGGACATGATTTCACAGGTACAGCCGTTCTCCAGGAGAAGCAGGCTGACGTCAGGGTCTCCACGAGAGCTGTCCTTCCTGTAAAGTTTGGCTCTGTTGTTCATTAGTGAGTAACAATCTACAGATACACCGTTTTCTATTTTTGTCTGAACTTGTCTCAGCAGCTCACACTGTTCTTCTGGTCCAATGTTGGCCATGATTTTCTCAGTAGCTTTCCACCTGGCATCCTTAAAGCTGTCAGTCTCTGCTTGTGTCTGACCATCTGCTTTATCTAATTCATCCACATCCTCCTGTGAATAAAACCCCAGCTGGGCACCAAGAATAAGTATGTCAGCAGCTGAAACATCTTCTGATTCTGAGCCAACCACTGCTTGCATTACAGCCTTGTGGAAGTGCTGGATCCTGGTTCCCCACCTGATCTCCCCTGTTTCAAACATTTCTATTGGCTTGCAGGATGACATCATGGCCCAGATGCTTGCCAGGACTTGCTCCATGTGCCTTAGGCTGCCGGCTTGGTGTGACAGGAACGTGACCTGGACACCACTGTCCAGCGTCATGTAGTCCACCTCATCTACTACCACACACTCAAACCTCCTCGGACCTCGGGTAGTCTTCTTCTCAAACTCTTGCCTCAGTGTATCTGCTGCAAATGTCCCAACAGTGCCATAAACGACCTGCTGGCTGTATGCATCCTCAAGCAGCTTGTCATGATCTTTAAAGGAGCAGCTATCGATTTGTGTTGGAGGGACCGTGGATGATGTAATACCAAACACATCGTATAATTTGCTCCACTTATCCTGATCACGACTTGCTAACAAAGGAGAGCTTGTCACAATGTCCACCTGTGTGCCTCGGGTGGCCTGTATTGTAGCAAACATGGCTAAAATACAAGTTTTGCCCTCTCCAGTGCTGATTTCCAGCAGACAACCTTTCTTATCCCCAGACTGTGGCAGCAGGAGCAGCAGCAGTGATGCCAGCTGACTGGGTCTTGGGAAGTAGCCCTGAACATGTTCGCCGCTTTGAGTGGTAAAGGCGGTGCATTCCTTTACAGCTCTGGATACGATGATCAGGACTTTCTTCAGAGCATCTGTCTTAGGATTGTTAAAATCGAGAGCAGTTATTATCTTTTTACAATCTTCAATCATCTCCCTGTTGATGGGCACACTTCCATATTTGGGTAGCTCTTCTTCAATATATGTCAGGACTTCTCGCAGGAGCGACAGGACACACTCTGGAACGTTTTTGTTTTCCATTTCAGCCAAAAGTGTGCAAGCATCTTTGTCTCGCTCAGCTTTGTCCACACAATGTTGGATGTACTCTGCAGGATCGTCTTCCTTCAGGGCAGCGAGAGCGTCGTCACAGCTCAGCCCGTACGTGCACGCTTTGTGGAGGATTTTTGTGACTGTTTCCTGATCCATGCTTAAGGTCTTTCCGAGGAAAAGCTTGATGTCTTTTGGTGCCCAGAGGTTGTTGAAGACTATTTGACTGACGATGTCCTTACCTGATCGGGGCAGCTTTGAGGACAGATCCAGGACATTTGCTAACACCTGTTGGGCCAGTGTTGGGTTGTCAGCATGTAGCTGTTCCTGCAAACTGAGGAGGAACTCTGTCTTCTTGTCTTGTCCATTTTGGAGGAGATCTTCAAAATCAGGGTCACCCTCTAAGGTCACCTTCAGCACTGCCTCCAGGATGTTGAACCTCTCAGTCAGAGACAGCAGCACGTATCCAGTAGTCTGATCCAAAGCCCACAGTAATGAAGTGGGGACGAAGTGGGGGTGCTCGTTAAAATATTGTAATGTCAGCTTATTTTGGAGAGTCTTCATCCTGTCTTCCAGCTGGATCTGTAAATGTTCCTCCTCTCTGATGTCATACTTTGACAGAAGTTTTTCAAACTTCTCATTAACATCAGCGACCTGTATTAAAGAGGAAGACACGAGCGTAACAGTATCAGCAGCAGAAAGCAGGGTCAGGTGATGTAATCCTCACCTGACCATGAATTATTATGAATGTTTTTGGCAGTAAGGACAACAAACATCTGTTCACAACTGTGATGGATGTTCTGCTATGAGGACCTTCAGGAGTAGCAATCGATTTTTTAATTTGCCTGGTTAAAAGGAGACCTATGTAACGAAATATTATGCTAATTATTCATGTTATACTAATATAATATTATACTGATCTGAACTGTTTACAGTTCAACAAAGAGAAATTTGTCATCTTCCAAAGTATAGGGTTGGGACATAGTCAGGGTTATGATGACTTAAGTGTTAGACATTTAAAAGGACCCAGAGCCTCTGTGCTATCCTTTCCCAGACGCTCGTAGCTGTTATTGCCGAAGGCCGGACCCTACCTCATCTCTCTCTATGTGATGTGCTTCATCTTCCAAGAGCTGGTGTAGAACCTGAGAGCGCTGCTGACGGTGCTCCCAGGTTCTGAGGTTTTCCTCCTCCTGAAGCCTGTCGTGTGCTTCAGAGAGCTTTTTTCTTAATGTTTCATTCTCCATCTGCTCTTGGATCTTCCTCTGTCGCTCAAGCTCTGCCTGACGCCTTTTCTCTTCTTCTTCTTTCCTGCGTCGTTCCTCTTGTTGCCGTTTCTCACGTTCTCGTTTCTCTTCATCAATTCTGCCTGTAGAGAAATTAATGCATGCTTAGAGAAATTAAATTTGTTTTTAATTAAAAGCTTCTGACATGAAACCCTGTTACACTGCAAAGAGCTTGGTGTTGGCTCTCACTGGAATACTGTGTCACTTCCTGTTCCTGGTTTGTGCAGCGACATCTGTGTGGCCCAGTTCATTTCAAACTCTTACTTAGCAACTTATTTCATCCTGTAACCTACGTATGATTTATCAGGGCACACTTCCTCTTCAATCAGCTGCAAATTTTACTCCGTGTTCACTTATTGTGTCATTAGCAGTGTGGCCTGTGTTTCTGTGCTTCCTTCACTTTCCTGCTCAGTGTGTCAAGTGTTTAGTTATTGCGTGGCCTATTTTGGGGATAATAGTACTTATAAATAATAATAAATATAAAGTAGTAATAAATATAGCTTGTTCATAGGTTTGGAGGACAAACCCCTGAAAGTAAGCGTAACACTGGCCAGGAGTCTGTAGCAGGTGTGGGCCAGCGTAGCTTAGCCCTGATTAGCTGTCCCACGCCAGGTCCTCCTGAGGGAAATCATGCGGGTTTGTGACTGAAGAGGAAATGTAGCAGCAAACTGTTTCTCCAGGCTAAATGATGATCTTCTAAATTTGTGAGACGCCATTTGCTCTCCAGCTTACGAGTCGTCTGCTTTAAGGTAAGTTGTTGAGAATTATACCACGGAGTCAAGTACTTCTGATTTGAGGCTCTGTTGTTCACAGCAGCTACAGCATCCAGAGTGACGTAGTCGGTCACTCTGGGTTTTTGTTAACTTTCCGATTTCTTTCCGATGTGTGAAGTCTTATTAAGCAGTAACACCACCGACTGATACTTACCAAAGTTAGGACAGCGGTCGACAACACTACCTAACATGTTGTGGACCAGTTCAAATTCTTTGTGGTCTTTGCTCTCTCTTATGGTGTACGAACCGCCACCACCTGAACCAGTGAGGTCACTTTCTGAGTGATCTCCGTATCTAAAGTAAAGCCCCCAAAATGGTGGTAGTGCATGCAGGTAATCTCCTGTGCTGTTGCCACGCACGGTACGCACACCCTGAAAGAGAGGGGAGGGGCCAGGATGAATGACCACAGACAAGGTGAAACTTATCATTTGGATTTGTAGACTTACCTCTCTCCCCTCGCTACAGTAGTGAAATGTGTAGGGGGTCTCATTATGTATCGTATAGAAGCTCCACATGGTTCAAACTCTATGAGACAAATGAAAGAGAGAAGGTCAGAGAAGTTTTACTAACATTGAGGAGATGACTGGGTGCTGAGAGAAAAGCTGTGACCACATGAATGTCTCTAATCAGGTTTGTGTCCAGAGTGTGGATGTTTGGAACAACAGCACTGCCAGACTGACAGTTACTATCAGGGCTGTACTTTTACCCTCGAACAGAATACACGGCATTCGTTCTGAATGCAGACACTTGCAGTTGTGTGACTGCAGTTGTGGGACTTAAATGGATACCTTTAATATGCAGTGAGATTGTGTTGGTCATCCAGGTAAGTAAATCCCAAAATACTGTTCATCTGGACACGTGTGTGCGTATATGTAAATACTTTTTTGTTCCATAACCATTTAAGAGATCATTTAAGAAACTCCAATGACTGTCTTACTGCATCCACCTCAGCAGCGATGGCATGCTGTGAGAGACAAAATTTGAAATGCAAATGACATGCAACATTTGAAAGACTACACGCCTTTGCAGCGGGATTCCCGACTGGGGCGTCTGTATCCAGTAAGGTCCCCACATACTAAGCAGGCCTACCGCAGAGACACACACACACACACACACACACACACACTACGTTCCCCTGAGGAGTCTAGGCGGTGAGGGGGAAGTAACAAAAAGTGTCCGGGTCAGAAAAAGGAGACAAGAAGGCATAAGGGTTAAATTATAGAATTTTATTAAAGTAGCTCACTAGCTGTAACCACTCACATGGCACTCTAGCCCAGAGCTCACCTTTCCCTGGGACTAAATACTTTTAATTACTGACGACAGTCAGCTGTACAAAAGGGAAAGGTGGCACCTCAGGCAGAAGAG